CCCAGCCCTGCGAGAAGCATGTGAAGGCACCCTAGGCAGAGACACCTGGTAACACACCCAAGGGGAGGCCATGCAGTGCAGCCAGCGGCACAGAGGCCAGGAGCCCTCCCGCAGCCCTGGCCCCCCAGACCTGGGTGTGGGCCCCTCTACTCTTGGGAAGCATGGTCTTGCTGAGCCCCTACTTTCTGTCCTGTAAAATGTGGACTCCACATACTGGGGTTGTTAGTGAGCGGAGACAAAATGGAACAGGCAAACCACAATGAGCACAAAAAAACACAATGGGGTCAGGTCTGGGGTCTGGCCAGGGATTCAGGGACCTTGAGAAGGCTCAGGAATGATCTGGGAAGATGGAGGGTCCAGGTGGGGGCCGTGCACACAGTGCCCCTTCTCCAGCCTCAGTGGCTGCCCCCCACCCTCCAGCTCCCCACAGGGCCTGGCCTCCTGCCCTCCCCTGCCATCGCCTGCTCACCTCTGGGCCACTGGGTCATGGTTGCTGGGAGACGGTTGCCTGGTCACCACTGTTGTTTCCCTGGCAGAGGCTTGCACCATCTTGTCAGGCAGGTAAGAGGGACAGGCGGGCCACCAGCAGGAGTCTTGGCTGGGCATGAGGGCTGGGGCCTGCCGTCCCATGCCCCTAATCTAGCCCCCTGGCCTCCAGCAACCCTGTGGATCCTCTCTGGACTCTGCCTGGAGCATAAGGGAGGCAGGGGGAGGGGAGGAGACGGGCAGCCTGGCTGGGCAGAGAACCCTCTGCAGAGGGCCCATGCCCCCAGGGCCACAGCGTGAGTGGCAGAGACCCCCAGGCCAGGCTGAGAAGGGCAGGCCTCCTGGGGGTAGAGGCCCCTCAGGACGAGTTCCTTTGCTCAGGACTAGTTCTGTCTGCCAGAACCGATCCCCCGAAGGACAGCCTCCTAAAATCCGCGGGACCCACGTTCCCCCGGAAAACTGGACCCCGGACAGAAGGCACCAGCCCGGCGAGCGATGTCAGCACCTCCTCAGCGCCCCAGGTTGCCAAATGCGCGCTTGGGGGGAGGCGCCTGGCAGGACACAAATGTCTCATTTTCCGGGATGTTTTCTTCACGTTCAGGAGGGTCTTCCATCCATCACACCGGGGCGCCACTTCCTGCCGGTCTTTTTACCTGACCAGGTAAAAGGTTTACTTACAAATTCATTCTACAGTTTTCACTGAACACCCGCCCTCCTCAGTCCTCACTGAGTGGCCACCCCCCTCTGCCAGGGGCACTCACACCCTGCGTCTCAGCACCATGGATAACACTCCGGGAGCCTCTTTCAGCGTAGGGCGTTGTCTCTCCGTTTAGAATTAGTCCTTTAGAGAGAGTCTGAAACGTGCAGTTGCTCAGCAAGGCTCCCGGGGCCAGAACTCGGTGCCAAGGACCCCTAGGCTGCAGCCTGCAGCCCACGGGCGTGTCTCACCACACGCGTGCATGCCCAGGGCTGCTGTCTTCCTTAATCTTTGTTAATTCGAAAGACAAGAAGTGATCATTCACGGCCTGTTCAATTCTTTGTGAAAGTAGTAAAATGTACAGAGTCAGGCAAGCTAAATAGGGACAGAGGCTTATAAGGCTCATGTTGAAAGCCAGTGCCCTGGACCCCACCTCCTGGCACCTGCTGTGTCTGGGTGATACCGCAGACATCATCCACCGCTTTGGTCTGCGGGACCGGGGCTCCCTCCCACGTTCACATCCTAACCACAAAGAAGGCTCTCTCCGGGCTGGCCCTCACCTGCTCGGCACGGGCCGGGCCCTCTCGGTCCTCACCATTGTCCCAAGGGCCCTCCTTGAACACACTGGACAAGACAGATGTCTGCACGTGTCATGTGTCAGAACTGTCTCCAGAGCAGCCCCGCAGGCCCGTTCCACAGGTGGACACACCAAGGCACAGAGCCACTCCCTGGGACAGCCCAGCTTCCTTCCCAGGGAAGGATTCCCTGAGGAGGGGTCTCAAGACTTCCCACCAGCCCGGGCTCGTCACAGGAACCTTGCCTCCTGCTCTGAGACACCTCCGGACTCAGCTGTCACTCCGTTTTCTTCTCAGCATTCTCCTTTCCAGGCCATTTCCTTGCCTCCAACTTCCAACCCTTGTACTGCATTTTCAGTCTCCACGGGTTTTCCACAGTCCCTGCTCCTCTGTTCCCACGGCCCGGCCCTCTTCTTGGGGTGAGGAAGCTGGCCCAGCATTTCCCCAGGGCTGTGTCCTGTGCCTTCTGTCCTGGTGCCTCCGCTCCTCTTCCTCTGTCGTGATGACGTGCGCCTGTGTTTGCGCACATCTGTGTGTACGTGTGTGCATGTGCAAGCGGGACGGTGTGCACCAGTGTGTGTGTCAAGCTCTTGCTCACACCTGGGGGATCTCCGTCAGATGTCTGTTGACCCATTGTCCGTATCCCCAGCAGGGGGTGGGTCTCCCAGGCAATGGGGAGGCACACACATGCCCACACACACACACACATGCACCCTCCCTGTTATCAGCAGGCTCATATCCCCCAGCCGTGCCGAGCGGAGTCCAGCCCCGACACAGCCTCATCCAAAGAGCCCTGTCGTTCTGAGTGGGTGTGGCTGGGGAGGAGGCTCCAGGTCGTCCACACTGCTCAGCCCACCCTGGCAGGGGCGTGAGGCTCTCCTCGCACCCAGCCAGCCTCCCAGCCCCCACAACCATGCTGACAGCTGTTCCCAGTTTACCCTCTTCTGTTCTAAATGGGGACAGAGGCCTTTGTCAGCATCTCTTGTGTGACCAGCTGATTTGCTTGCAAAGTGACTGTCCTCTTTGGAGAGCAGTCTGCTGGTACCTGGTTTGCAGGGGCAGGAGCCCCTCTCTGCCTGGAACTCCCCAGGGTGCTGGCCTTTCCACGGCTGGTGTTTCTTCAATCTTTCAGAAAAATCTTTGCCTCCCAGGCAGCCCCCAGATAGGGAAAAACCTGTCAAGGAATGGCTAAAATTCCCTAAAATGTTCCCAAGTTGGCCAAAAGGAGCTCTAGGCAGGCATCATCCTCGGGGTAGGGCCCAGGGCAGTAGGGAGGACGCTGCTGGACTCCGCAGTCCCCGCCCTGACTCTGGGAGGGGCCTGCTCGGGGCCAGGGCGCCCCCTGCCCAACCCGGCAGGCCTGATGGCAGCCCTCCTTACAGCCAGCACCGAGGCCGAGCGCAGAGACGCCCAACAGACAGTCCCTGCAGAAGAGGCCTCGCCCGGGACAGACGAGATGCAGAGACGGCCCAGCCCCCAAGGGGCACCAGGCCCCACAGTCACCACAGAGACAGGAGCCGGCCACAGAAGGAAGCCCAAGACCAGGACCCCAAGAGGCACCCCTCTCCGGGCAGAGTGGGCCTGACCTCGGGCCCAGTACAAGGGCACGGGCCATGGACTATCCGGAGGTCCTGCAGAGGGGTCAGGGCGGTGTCTTCCCAGAGGTGCCCGCACCCCAGTGCCCACAGCCACACCCTCTTCATCCACCACTGGGGACCCGCCTCTCGGACCCAGATCCACACAAAGAGAGGCAAGCGGCCAAGGATGGCAGGGGTCTTGCAGAGCTGCCCCTGGGGGCCAGGTGAATACAGTCACGGAACTGGCTCCACCCACCAGTCCGGGGCCAACCAGGGACAGGCAGCCCCTTCCCAAAGAAGGCCTCACTGAGGGACCACACAGCCATGCCCTGGAAGTGGGGCCGGCTGGAAGCCACACACTGGGTGTGGGATCTGGGCCAGCTGAGTATGGCAGAGGACAGCTGAAATGGGGTCTGAACAGGCACAAAGAGGGGCCTCCCCTGACTGACATGGGTCACCCATGATGTCATGATGGACATTGTGACCCCCACTCTCCTGGGCATGTCCCTGCATCATGTCTGTCCCCAGCTCCTGACTCACACCTTGGCCTCAGCCCTGTACTGAGCCCCTGCCCTGCTGGTAAGGAGGGACCCTGCCCATCCAAGGCTGGCCCTGGGTGGTGGCATGCAGTCCCCTCTCTCTTAGGGGAACCTCTGGTTGGGCCTGAGACTGGACTGAGATGGGCCGAGATGGCTGGGGGATGGCCCAGGGGCTCCAGCCAGACTCCGAGTGGGTGCCTCCCCCAGCCACCCCCTCCGACCCCTACCTCGTCCGCAGGCTGGGCCCGTGAGAGATCAATGGGGAGCTGCCGAGAGGAGGGCCTCCTGCATCAGCTGGGCCAGCAGGGCCGACACACAGGTTGGGGGGAGCCCTGGAAGGGTGGGAAAGTCACCCGCCGGCCCGGAGCCTCTGACGGCCCACCTGCCCGCAGACCTCCCGGACGACGCTGACGCTGCCCGGCCCCAGGCTGCCCTCCTGGAGAAGCACCTGCTGGGGGGAGAGAAGCAGCCGCCCAGCACTGGGCAGGGTCCCGTCTTCTACATCGGAGGCACCAACGGGGCCTCAGTGTGAGTGGGGCCTCAGGTGCTGCCCAGCCCCACTGCCGCCCGGCCGGGCCCCGCTCCGCTGCTGCTCCCCATGGCCCTTGGGTCACCGCCATTCCTCGCCCTGCAGAATCAGCTCCTACTGCAAGAGCAAGGGCTGGCAGCGCACCCAGGACAGCCAGCGGGAGGACTGCAAGCTGACGTGGTGCGAGGTCAAGTGCAGGGACACCTACTGCCGGTTCCGGGAAGGTAGGGGCGGCAGGGGGCCCGCAGCCGCGGCCGGCCCTCCTCGCCGCACGGCCGCACACTTCTGGGCTTTGTCGTGCCAGGTGAGCAGCTGCTGTTCCAGCTCCCCAATAACCAGCTCCTCACCACCAAGATCGGGCTGCTCAGAGCCCTGAGGGAGCACGCGCGGGTCGTGAGCAGGACCAGCAAGCCGCCCCCGAGCACGCAGGCCAAGTGAGCCTGCCCCGGCCCACCAGGCACCCACCCAACCCGACGCGCCCGCTGGCCACTGGTCCCGCCCGCCCTCCACTGAGTCCATCTGCTCTCGCCTTCCCACTGACCCAGCCAGTGCTCACCGACCGATCTCCACGTCCGACACCGGCCACCATTCCATCCACCCACCCTCTTGGACCCCAGCAGTCATCACACGCCTGCTACAGAGCCACCCACTGGCGTCCCTCACTCAGTCTCCACTGCCCGTTCTCACAGGTCCTCCTCCACCCACCCACCATGCAGCCGGGCCTGACCCAGTCCATGCGCTCCAACCTGCAGCCACTTGTCCACCCTCATCCACTCACTGCCAGCCATTTACGCAACTGCCCACCCATCCAAACAGCTCCCCCTCCATCTGCCTCCCTGTCCTCCCCCTACCAGGCGGGCAGCCACCCACTACCCGGTCATCCACGACACCACCTTTACAGCCACGTGTCCAGCTTCCACCTCCACCCATTTCTGTCAGCAGCTTCAGTCCACTGCCCTCCAGGCATCCACCAGACCACTTGCCCATGCACCTACTTCCATCCAAAATCCATTTGTCCAACCAATACCCATCCACACACCACGAACATACCACCAAGCCCCCACCCACTCCCCACCTCTCCAGACACCCCGCCGTCCATCCTCCACACACTGAGTGCCACTCAGGCCAGGCTCTGTGTCCCCCTGGGGTATAGACCTGGAAAGGACACAACACCCGCCCTGGAAGAGTTCATGTGGACCAGCCCAGGACGCCTTGGGCCACAGAGGTAGATGCACTCAGCCCTTCTCCCCTAAGCTGAAGGATGGCCTAGTGGCAGGTGAAAGGGGGTCAAGGGCATCCCAGGTCGGGGGATCCGTGCCAACCATTAGCTACACGCTGGGCTCTGGCCTGGCCTGGGACACAGGTCTGAACTGACCACTCGCAAAGGCCTGAGAGCAGGAAGGTGGGAGAGGGGCTGGGATGTGGACGAGGCAGCCTGCAGAGAAGCGAGGTGTGCAAGAAGCCGGGAGAGTCATCTTGGCGCCAGGAACAGAAGGTGCAAATGTCCAGAGGAGACAGCTGTGGGGCTGGGATGTGTGTGTGTCAGAGGAAACCAAAGGCTGCAGGGATGCCTGGAGCCCAGCCCAGCTTCCCAGTGGACACTCTCCCTCCAAGCCACCCCCGGGTCAGACCCCTAAAATGGCCAGCCAAGCCTGGGGGAGGGGGGCAACCCTCCCCGTGTCTTCCCACTTCCCTGCTTCTGCAGGATCCTGAAAATGGAAGAATTTTTCCCAGAGACCTACCGTCTGGACATCAGGGACGAGAGAGAAGCCTTCTTCACCCTCTTTGATGGTGAGAGGCTGCTGGACACCAGGCCCACTCTGGGGAGTCCAGTGCTGGGGTGGACCAAGGTGGGAGCGTGCTGAGGGCAGGGCGAAGGTGAGGTGGAGGTGGGGGTGTGGTCGGGGGGAAGGGCGGGGCCAGGGAGAGTGAGGTCAAGGCCAGGGCTGGGGCGACGTCGGGGAGGGTCATGGATGAACCGCAGTGGAGGCCAAAGCCTGGCAGGAGTGGAGCCACAGCTGGATGTGGTCAGGGCGGGAGGGCGTGTGGGTGGGGCCGTGGATGGGCATCGCCGCAGGGGCTGGGAGGGCCCCAGACTCAGGGGGCTCTCTCCCCAGAAACCCAGATGTGGATCTGCAAGCCCACCGCTTCCAACCAGGGCAAAGGCATCTTTCTGGTCAGGAACCGGGAGGAAGTCGCTGCCCTCCAGGCCAAGACGCAGAGCATCGAGGACGCCCCCACGTACCACAAGATGCCGTCCCGGGTGCCTCAGGCACGAGTCGTGCAGAGGTGTTTGCTGTGTGTGGGCACGACCAGGGGCGTTGGTTGGGTGTGGCTGATTCTAGGCCTGCTGGTGCTTGTGAGGGCTCGTGGGGGTCACTGGGCCCCCAGAGGAGTCACTGGCAGTGGAAGGCTGTGGGTCCCCAAGCTGGGCCCCTGTGTAGCCAGAAGAGGTGGGGATGTCACATCCGGCCAGAATCTCAGAGGGATGCCCCCCACACACAGGCTCCTGGACATGGATGAGTGTGGGGCAGGGAAGTCTTGCTCAGTTTGTTCCCTGGCCTGGGCCCTGGGCCCTCTGTCCTGCAAGAAGCCAAGCCTCACAGGTCTCCCTACGGCCAGCCTCTCCCCCACCCCCGACCCTGCCAGCTGCAGCCTTCAGGCCGGCAGCCAGAGCTGACCACCCTCCCTTGCTCCCTCTGCCTCTGGGTGGGGTCCAGACCCTCAGCCTCACACAGCGGGTGGAGGGCACAGTCTAGCCTCACTAGGGTCCGTCTGGACTTCCCTACCTGCCAGCGTGGACCTCACTCCTGCCGGAACTGCCCTCTGCCATCCCAAGCAGCTTCTCCTGGTCTCTGGGTCTTTAGAACTACAGCTCTTTCCACCTGGGATGTCCCCTCCCTGCCTCTCCAAAGCCGCCTTCCCTTTAAGGCCCAAGTTCTCTCCTCCCTTCTCTCCCAGGCAGTCTTCCCTGCCCACAGGGGCCCAACCTGCTCCCTCCTTCCAGGCTCCTAGAGCAAGCTGTGCCCTGGGATGCCCCAGACACACACAGTAAGCTGAGCTCTAGGAGCCAGGCCTTTCTTCCCAGTTCCCTGACCTGCTGAGGCTCAGAAATGTCCCCTCATCAATGGACGCTGCACTCAGGCAAGAGTAGGGGACCCACAGGGCACACCTGAGACAGGTGGCAGGTGTGCTGAGGAATTAGCCAGGCCGACCATGTGCTCAGACACCGTGGGCCCCACGCCTCCCCAGGTACATCAAGAACCCGCTGCTGCTGGATGGGAAGAAGTTCGACGTGCGCTCCTACCTGCTCATCGCCTGCGCCACACCTTACATGGTCTTCTTCGGCCATGGCTATGCTCGCCTCACCCTCAACCTTTATGATCCCTGCTCCAGTGACCTCAGTGGCCATTTAACCAACCAGGTAAATGCCCCCCACAGGTGAGGGCCCTCCCTGCAGCCTTGGATGAAATAACTACTCAAGATTGCAGACAAGAATCCAGCTGTAGACATGGCCCAGACCTGGAGATGGTCCAGGCCCAGAGGTGGTCCGGGCTGCCCCTGCCTGCAGTCAGTGCTGCCTCTCCCCTTCAGCCACAGCCAGGCCTCCTGTTGAAATGACCAAGAGCCATGCACTCCAACCGCCAGCTCAGTTCCCTCTGGGTGTGGATCAGGTGTGGGCAAGAGTGAGAGCCGAGGGGTGAGAGGTCTCTGTGAGCACCTCAGTGGAGAGGTCCTGTGGGCAGAGGTCTCTGTGGGAGGTTCTTAATGGAGAGAGTCTAGGCGGAGCCCTCCGGGAGGATCTGCAGGAACTTCTTAGTGGAAAGAGGTGCTGCGGGAGGGTCTCAGCAAGGGGCCCCTGCAGGTGTCCTGAAGGAGCAGAACCTCTGTGGGGTCTCTGCGTAGCTGGGTTAGGGTGAGGCTCTTCCTAGGGGCCCTGGCAGGGGCAGGGCCTCCGGGTGCTCTGGGGGATGGCCTCCAGGTGCTGCACTGCCCCCTAGTTCATGCAGAAGAAGAGCCCCCTCTACATGCTGTTCAAGGAGGACACAGTGTGGAGCATGGAGCACCTCAACCGCTACATCAACGACAAGTTCTGCGAGACCAAGGGCCTCCCCAGAGACTGGGTCTTCACCACCTTCACGGTCCGTCTGTGCCCCACCCACCCCACCTGGGGGAGGGGCCAAGGGTCGTGACCCCCTAGGGTTGGGGGGCCAGGGTGTTTCTGCCTGCACATCTACACCAGGCTGCGCCCCCAGCATCCTTGGGCGGGGCTGCATTCTAGCCAGAGCCTGGCACGGAGTCTCCAGTGACCCCCACCTCTCCCCCCTCTCAAATGGGATAATTCACATGACGTAAAATCCACCCCGTTAGAGAGGGTTTTAGTGTATTCACAGAGCTGGACAACTATCGCCTCTCTCTAATTGCAGAACATTTTTGTCTCCCCAGAAAGAAGCCCTGTAGCCACTCATCCCCCCCCATCGCCCTCCCCCTTCCCAGGCAACCACCAAGCTGCTTCCCATCCGTGTGGGTTTCCCTGTTCTGGACATTTCATGTGATGGGGTCACTCGCATGTGGGCCTTCCTGGCTTCTTTCACTGCGAAACCACGTCCTCAGGACTCATCTGTGTTGCAGAGTCAGTACTTCCTTCCTGTTTACGAGTGTAAATGGATCACAATTTGTTTAGATAAACATTCGTCAGTTGATAGACATTTGGGTAGCTTACCTTTTATCTTTTATGAATAACACTGCTGTGAACATTCATGTACAAGGTTTTGCACGACCATGTATTTTCAGTTCTTTTGGGTATATGTCTAGGAGGGGAATTGCAGGGTCATGTGGTAACTCTTATGTTAAACTTTTTGAGGAGCTGCCAAACCATTTTCCACAGTGGCTGCACAAGCAATGTTTGATGGTCCCAATTTCTCCACATCCCTGCCAACGTTTGCTGTTTTTCCTTTGTTTTTGTTTAATAGTCATCCAGTGTGTGTGCAGTGATATCTCACTGAGGGAGTGATTTGCGTTTCCCTCGCGACAGGGACACTGAGCATGTTTTCAATATTTATTGGCCATTTTTGTATCTTCTGTAGAAAAACTCCTGTTTAGACCCTTTGCCGGCTCTTCCTTGCTAGGCTCTAGAGCTCTTCCTATTCCGGACGCTTGACGCTTCTCAGGTGACGTGATTTGCAAATATGCTCTCTCCTTCTGTGAGTTCTCTTTTCACTTTCTTGATAATGTCCCTTCTTGCACAAAAGTTTTAGATTTTGATAAAGTCCAACTTATCTTTACTTCTTTGCTCATTCATGCTTTGATGTCAGACCTAAGACTCTATTGCCAAATCCAAGGTGGTGAAGATTTATTTCTATGCTTTCTTCTAAAAGTTTGATCTCTTTTTGCATTAATTGCTGTGTGTGGTGTGAGGTAAGGGTCCAACCTCAGTCTTTTGCACGTGGCTATCCCGTCGTCCCAGGACCACTTGTCAGAGAAACTGTTCTTGGCACACTGTTGAAAATCAGCTGACCAGCTGTGTGTGTGTTTATTTCCTGACTCTCAGTCCTGTCTCACTGGTGTGTGTGTCTGTCCGTGAGCCAGAACCACGCTGTTCTGATTGCTACAGCGTCATTCTCTTGAGGTGTTGAATTACACTGGCTGATTGCGTGTACTGCATTTCTCGCGTCTCTGGGATAAATCCCACTCAGACATGGTATATTAGCCTTTAAATACGATGCTAGACTTGGTTTGCTAGTACTTCATTGAGTATTTCTGCGTCTACATCATAAGCAATACTGGCCTTTAGCATCCTTTTCTTGTATGTCTGTCTGGTTTTGGACATGTTCCCTTCTCTTCTGTATTTGGAGAGTTTGTGAAGGATTAGTGTTAATTCTTTAAATATTCGGAAGAACCCACCAGTGAAGCCAGCGTGTTGTGGGCTTTCCTTTGTGGAAAGGCGTGCTGCTGCTGTTGTTGTTGTTACTAACGCAAGCTTTGCTTGTTTCAGGTTATCCAGAGCTTCCGTTTCTCCTTGGGTCAGGCTTACTAGTTTGTCTTTCTAGAAGTTCTTCCATTTCTTCTAATTATCTAATTCCTTTGGAACACAGCTCATGGTATTTGATGAACAACTATGAGCCTTTTCATCTACACGAAAGGTCTTCCTCTCTTGATTTCAGTAACTTGAGTCATCGCTCCTCTTCTCGTGGTCAGTTTAGCTGAGGGCTTGTCAGTGTTTTTGATCTTTTCAAGGAGCCAGCTTTCGGCTTCATTGATTTTCTCCATTTTCTAGTCTCTCTTCCATTTATGGCTGAGCTTCATTATCTCCTTCCTTTTGCTTGCTTTGGGTTTATTTTTCCCTTCTTTTTCCAGTTTCCTAAGGTTGGAGACTGGCTCACATATTTGAGATCTTTCTTCTTGTGCAGGGTAGGTGTTTACAGCCATAAATTTCCCTCCGAGCACTGCTTTCACTGCACACCATAAGATTTAGTGTGTTCTGTTTTTGTTTTCATTTGTCGTTTAAGAGTGTATTAATTTCCACATTCCTGAGAATTTTCCAGTTTTATTTCTCTTACTGATTTCTAATTTCATTCCACTGTGGCCAGAGAACATACTTTCTATGATTTCAACCCTTTAAAATTTATTGAAACTTATTTTATGTCATAACATATTCTCTACCCTGAAGAATGTTCCATGTATGCCTGAGAAAAATGTGTTTTCTGCTGTTGAGTGGAGTGTTCTAAAGATGTCTTTTGGACCTAGTTGGTTTATAGAAGGTTCAAGTCTTCTGTTTACTTGTTAACCTTCTGTCTAGTTGTTCTATCATTGAAACTAGGATGCTGAAGTCTCCAGCTGTTACTACTGAATCACTCATTTCTCTTCTCAATTCCATCAGGTTTTGCTTCATGTATTTTTAGGCTTTGTTGTTAGGTGCATGTATGTTTAAAATTACTGTATCTTCTTGATTCATCATTATAAAACGTCCTTTTTTTAATGTCTTCAATTTTTGTCTTAACTTCTATTTTCTCTGATACGAGTTATAGACATTCCAGCTCTCTTTTGGCTGCTGTTTGCATGATGTATCTTTTCTCTATCCTTTTACTTTCAAACTGTGTCTTTGAATCCGAAGTGAGTCTCATAGATAGCATATCATGGGGGTTTATGCATTCTGCCAACCTCCATCTTTTAACTGGAAAGTTTAAGTCCATGTACGTGTAATATAATTACTGCTAAGTTAGGATATATGTCTGCTATTTTGCTGTTTGTTTTCTATATGTCACGTCTTTTTTGTTTCTCAGTTCTTCCATTACTGTCTCCTTTTATGTCAGATATTTTCTAGGGTACCATTTCTAGTGTCATTTCTTTTATTATACACTTTTTAGTTATTTTCTGAGTTGTTGCCCTCAGAATTAATATCTTAGTTTATAACAATCTAGTTCAGATTAATACCAAGTTACTTTCAACAGTGTTTAAAAAACAACATTCTTTCTATACAATTCTGTCCCTCCCTTTATGCTGTTATTGTCACAAATTACAACTCTATAAATTGTGCATCCATCTACATAGATTTATAATTATTTCTTTATGCATTTGTCTTTTAAGTAAGTTAGAAGAAAAAAGCAATTACCAAAAAATACATTTATAGTGTCTTTTTTTTTAATGGAGGTACTGAGGATTGAAACCAGAACCTTGTGCATGCTAAGCATATGCTCTACCACTGAGCTATACCCATCCCCCTATTATGTCTTTTAGATTTAACTATGTAGTTAATTCATGAGAGCTCTTTATTTCTTCCTGTGAATTAAAATTATTATCTAGTTTCCTTTCATTTCAGCCTTAAGGACTATAGGGACATTCTACTGGTGATAACCTCCACTTTTTAAACTTGGGAATGTCTTAATTTCTCCTTTATTTTTGAAGGATGATTTTGCTGTATCTACAAATCTTGACTGACAGTTTTTTACTTTCAGTATTTTGAATATGTCATCCCACTGCCTTCTGAACTCTATGGTTTCTGATGAGAAACTGGCTGTCGATCTTATTGAGAATCTCTTATGAGAAGTCATTTCTACTTGCTGGTTTCAACATTCTCTTTGTCTTTGTCTTTTGAAAGTTTGCTCATGATGTGGTGGAATCTTTTTGAGTTTATCTTACTTGGAGCTCACTGATCTTCTTGGGTGTGTAGGTTATTTTTCATCAAATTTGGGAAGTTTTCTGACATTATTTCTTCGGATATTCTTCCTGCCTCTTTCTCTCCTCTTTCTGGAACTCCTGTTTTGCACATTGGCCTGCTTGTTTGTGTCCCACAGGTCTCTGTAGCTTTGTTTTTTCTTCATTCCTGTTACTTTCTGTCCCTTAGACTGGATAATCTCAATTGACCTGTCTTCAGTTGTACAGTTGAGCCCCTCTAGTGATGTTTTTACATTTCAGTTCTTATACTTTTCAACTCCGGAATTTCTTTCTGGCTCCCTCTTATGATTTCTGTCTCCTCACTGATAATCGGTAAGACATTGCCCTTATATTTTCCCTTAGTTCTTTTCAGGTGAGGTCTTCTAAGGAATCACTGGATGCACCACAACAAACAGCTACAGTTCTTTGCAGGACAGGTCCATTCTGCTATTTCCAGTACTGGAAATGCAGGCTTTTTTTTTTTTTTCAAGGCTGGCGCTGAACTGGGTAGTGGGGGATAAAACTAAGGCAAGTTAAAAGCTCGGTGTTTTTACCAAGATTCAAGATTTTACTTGAATAAACACTCTTTGGGTTGCTGAGCACCTTTGGCTAATCTCCAGGGTTCTGAGAAGGTCGATGCTGACAAATTTGTGCAGTTTGGGGTTGTTCTCATGCGGCAGCTTATCATCAGATGACTTTCCTCTGGCACTTTTGCAATGCTCTCTTTGTCTCTCTTGCAGCTGCTCCAGCATTGTTTCACCCTATTGTTCACTGAAACGCTCGCTGGGCTCATCAGTGACCTTTGTGTTGCCAAAGGGGTCAGTCCCAGCCCTCTTCTCCCTGACCTGTCAGCCAACTTTGGACACAGCTCCTCACTCTCCATGGCTTCCAGAAACTTGCTCGCTGCCTCTAACCCCCCATGCTGGCTCCTCGGCTCCCAACCGCTCCTCTCTAGGGGCCCAGGGCTCAGCCCGATGCTCTACTCTGTATTCACAACCACTGGTGATGGTTGTGCTAAAGACACCACATTAAACATCTGGCCCTGATCTCTCCCCTGAACTTGAACCATGGCCTACCAACACTATGAGGCCTGAGCAACCCCCTAGAGGTCTCAGAATCCACAGGCCTCCCCCCATCCTCTGCAGGCTCCATCCTTCCAGAGTCTCGGACCAAACATCTAGGGATAACCCTTCATTCCTCTTTTCACAGCTCACCATCCTTTCATCAATCAGTTGGGTTGGCTCTACCTCAAAATACACCCAGCATCCATCCCACCACCTCCAGCTACCCAAGCCACCACCATTTCTCACCTGGATCATTGCGACAGGCCCCTCAGCCTCTCTCAGTACAGCAGCCAAAGAACCCTATTAAGGGACGGGTCATCTATGCCCTCCTGTGCTCCCCCTCCAACAGCTCTGATCTCAGTGTGAAAGGCAGGGTCTTCCCACACCCTTGAGATGTGACTGGTGCCACTCCGGTCTCATCTCCCACTGGCCCCCTAGCTCAGCTCAGTCACAGCCGCCCCAATCTGTTCCTCCAGCTCCTTGAGCATGCTCCCACTTCCAGCTGCTGCTCTGACCAGATGTCCCAGCCCCAGCCCAGAGCTGCCCACTCCATCTTCTCCCTCTGCTCACTGTCTCCTCCATGAGGCCCACCCGGACCATACCCCTCTTCACACCACCCCCAGGGCCCCCATTTCTCACCTGTTTCATCTTCTCTGTCAGCACAGAGCTTTGTACACTGTGCAAAGGGTGTAATGACTTACGTGTCACAACTGAGGGCAGAGACTTCTGAGCGCTCCCCACTCTCTGCCCCAGTAACCCCCACACAGTGGGAGCGCCACCTGTCTGCTGGGTGAATAAAATGAGAGCGAAGGAGTTTCTGGCTATAAGCCTGTGACTTACAGTGTAAGAGTGTGGGCAGTAGTGGGAGCACAGATGTGTGTGCTTGGCTGTTCCAGCCTGGGGGGTGTAGTCAGGGCCCACAGGTGACATCCTGTCACCCCTCCCCACCCCACCCACAGAAGCGGATGCAGCAGATCATGGCCCACTGCTTCCTGGCTGTCAAATCCAAACTCGAGTGCAAGCTGGGCTACTTTGACCTCATTGGCTGTGACTTCCTGATCGATGAAAACTTCAAGGTGCTGCGGAGGTGTCCCAGGGTGGTGGTGGGCTAGCAGGCAGGGGCCCTCTGTCCCAGGGGCATGCGGGCCCCTGGGATGAGCAGTCTGGTGCCCTCCCTGGCCCTGGGCGTGGTGTGTCCATAAGGTTTTGCTGCTCCTGCAGCTGGGGCAGCCCCCAAGGCCAGAGTGAGTCTTAGACCCTTGGGCAAATGGGGGAGGAGTGAAGCCATGGAAAAGAAGTGACCTGCTCAGGGTCGCCTGGCTTCATGAGGACCAGGGCCTCCGCCTCCTGCTGCCCGAGAAGTAAGTGGAGAGGGTTGCTGACCAGTGTTGGGCGCAGGTGTGGCTGCTGGAGATGAACTCCAACCCCGCCCTGCACACCAACTGTGAAGTCCTGAAAGAGGTGATTCCCGCCGTGGTCACGGAGACCCTGGGTGAGGCCCTGCCCAGCCCCAGAACCCAGCCACGCCCTCTGCTCAGGCCCCTACCTCCCCCTCCCCGGGGTGCCCCCCCACACCTCACCCCCACCTGGGTCCCACCCCTCACCACTCCTTCACCTCCCCCTCTCTCCCGGAACCCCCTCCCCGGGCCCCGCAAACGTGATGCCCGGGAGGCTGGGTCCCTGCTCCTCCTTTCCTCACCCCCACCCCCACCCCCGACAACACCCCTCACCCACCCCCTCCTCCTCCCTAGATCTGGCGTTGGAGACCTTCCAGAAGAGCCTGTGCAGCCAGAAGATGCTGCCTCTGCTGTCCCAGCGCCGCTTCGTGCTCTTGCACAACGGCGAGGCGGACCTGTGGCGGCGC